ATGGGTGAGCCGAAGCCACTCATGGTCTCCACGTCCCACCCAAAGGCTCTGTGTAAGCCTTGGTGCTCCTACCCTCGTCCTGAGCAGAGGGCAATGTCCCTCTCCCAGCAGCCCACAGGTCAGGCCCCGGACTCCTCCCCTTAGACCCGAGGCCTCCCTCCCTTCCTGTCTCCTTACTTCTCCGTCATGGTCCCCAGTTTTTTCTCAATGAGTTGCTTCTGTGTAGTGTGTTTACTCATCACCTCTTCAGGATCTGGATGTAAAGAAGGGGGAGGTCAGGAAGATGCCCGGATGGACAGGGGGTACAGGGAACCCCAGGTGTCATGGAGATAGGCAAACAGGAGCTAAAGGAGATTTGTCCGGGATGGCCCCAGAGAGGTGGCTTCTCTGGGCCTCGACTGGGCAGCACTTCTGTTTGTTCAGTTGCCTGTCCAGCAGCCACTCCCTCTTCTTCTGGTAAAAGTCTTCCAATTATCCTGAGAAGCCACTCCTGCCCCTTTTGGGTCCATGTGCTCTAGCTGGAGCTGACCTCACCCTGGCAGCTCCAAGGACATGTGACTCAGGCCTGGCCAATCAAAACAGCCCATCTTTTTATTTCCAGTGATTGGTTCAGAAATAAGAAAGAGACCAATCTAGGCAGGGAGACTCATTTCTGGGCCTTTGTTGGAACTGCTGGGAGAAGAGGACCTCTCTGCTGGGAGTGCTAGGAGTGGCTAACCAGTGAGGACTTGGGACCAGAGTTGCAGGTGGCTAATTTCCCACCACAAGGCAAGAGTAGCCCGAAGCACAAAACCACATAGAGGGCTACAGAGCAGAAATAGAGACCAAATCTCAGCCAGTGTTTGAGTCCTGGATCTAGCCATTCCTGAAAGCCCCCACACCAATTTGCTAAGTAATTTGGGCCAATTAATTCCTCTTTGCTTCAGCTTTCTTGCACTGACTGTCCCTGATGGAGAGGGCAGGTGAGGGACCAGGTGACCTCTGACAACACTTAGTCCTGTGGTGTTGATGATCCTAAGAGTGAAATTCGGAATCTCAGATTTGAAAGTTCTGAAGATCTTTAAGTGGGAAGCAAAGTAATTGGCTCAAAATCAATCCACCCAGAACATCAGGTGCATAAAAATGAATGTGTACAGGAAATTCCATTTTTGTAGATTCTCAATCCACATTGAGTGACTCTGGACAAGTGTGTAAAACATCTTGACAAAACCCTCAAAGGCAGTTGAAACCATCCCGTGTAAAATCAACTGCTATAAACTTTATAAGGTATCGAGAGAAACAAGCATTTGGTGCATCATAACCTGGCTAAGTAGTAGTAGTCATTTCAGAAACAGGACTTTCAAGAACTGACTATCCCTTTAATTGACTTTTGAATGATTGTCCTAGAGCTCTTTGGATCAGATTCTAAGCTCTGAAAGTTTGAGTCTCAGATTCTAAAACTCTAAAAATGAGCCAGTACTGTGTGTGTGTGTGTGTGTAATCACTATGATGTATACCTGAAACTAATGTCAACTACACTTCAATTAAAAATTTAAAAAGTGGTTAAAATGGCAAAGAAATAATAACAAAACAAAACGAAGCCTGGAATTCTGTGTCTGACTGTGGAAGGAGGGGAGGGCCAGTACCTGCTCTGCTGAGCTCCGCCAGGGAGTCATCCAGCAGCTTCTCATGGTTCTGCGCAGCCTTCTGGGAAGAAGAGGCCTCCGTCATGCCAAGGCTTCATGCCTGCCCATCCCTGGAGCACCCTCCTCCCTTCCCTCCAGCCTCTGTGCCCCTCTCCTTGTGTCCCTAATTGGTCCACCTGATCTGCCCCACTTGGTACCTCCTGCTTCACCTTCTGCAGGCCTCTGAGCAGTGCCATCTGGAAGCTGTCCACCATAACAGCAATCACCAGGCTGTGGAGGGAGCAGGCTGTGGGGCACCTGAAGGAGGCGGCTGTAGGAGAGGCCCTGCACCCCCGTCTGGGTTCCTCATGGTATGACCAAGGTGAGAGGGCTGGAGATGGCGTGCCCTGGGGTTGGGTGGTCAAGCTGGGGAGCAGAGCTCACTTGAGGAGGATGAAGTATTGGATGACGATGTAAATCATGAGAAGGGGGATGATGTACCAGGCGCCTGGGAGACAGGATGTTGTTGGATCTTTGAGTTCCTGGCCGGTGCTCCACACCCTGGCAAAACCCCACTTGACCTTGGGGTAACTGAGCCTTCAAGGTCTGCCCACCCAGCCATGCCTGCCCGCCACCCAGCCTGGGCCCGCCCCACCCTGAGCCCGGCTGTCCAGGTAGATGAGGGACCAGTCATCCAGGGTGAGCAAGGTGAAGAGGGTGAAGATGGTGGTGAAGATGTTCTGGAAGCGCTTGGGGTCGGATTGGTGGAACAGCGCCCGGAGCACCACAGAGAAGAGTACTGGCGGTTCAGGGCCACACCAGGGGCAGGGGCAGGGGCCCCACCCCATCCCATCCCCACCCCGCCCCCACCGCGCCACGGCCCTGCCCCAGCCAAGGATACAGAGGCAGGTGAACATGAGGATGAGGACGGCAGCAATGGATGGCAAAGACTGGGCAAGGTTCCTGGTCAGTACGTGGAGGCTGGTCAGGAAGCTGTGGGCAGAGGTGGGGATTTGTGCCCAGCAGCTAGAGCCAACCCTGAAGGCAGGAGGTCCCTAATTTCTAGTGACTTGGGGGGGGTCCCAGCCCATCTAGAAAATGCAGAGGCAGGTCTTCATGGAGGCAGGAGGCTTATCAGAAGCCTGCTTATCCGTCAGTAGCTGGAGTCTGTAGCCACTCTGCCCCCATCCCTTGAATGGATCCTTGGGAGCCCAGGCCTCTGTCTCCTTTTCTTTGGAGTCCCCAAACCAGGAGGACGGCCATGACCATCTGACCTGAGCCTCCTCAGGACCAGGATGGCCCTCAGGGCCCTCAGGCTCTTGAAGACCCTGAAGATCCGGAAGATGCTTTGGTTGTAGACATTGGGCAAGGAGGACAGGGAGCTGAGCTGCATGAGCATGAAGTCCAGCACGGCCATAACCACGATGAAGAAGTCTGAGGGCACGGGGGTGCCTGGGTGTGACAGGCTCCCGCCCAGACCCACCGCCTCCCGGCGCCGTCACCCTATGCCCCTGTGCCCATTTGTCCTCGGCAACCCCGAGGGCTTCAGTGGCTCCCACTGCACATGGGTAGGCCCCATCCCCTCACCCAGATTGTTCCAGGAGTCAGAAAAATACTTGAGGCCCAGAGCAATGATCTTGAGCACAGCTTCCACCACATAGATGCACAGGAAGATGGAGTCCAGGGCCATGAAGTACCACTCTGTGGGACACCACGGGCTCCCTCAGGACCAGCCCCAGGGACCCCGGCCCCCACCTCCTCCTCCCGCTGTGGAGCCTCTCACACACCCCTTAAAAGGAGAGCCTGGCTCTGCCCTGATGGCTTTTTGTTTTGACTGCTCTATGCCTCAGTTTTCTTGTCTGTAAAACAACCATAGTAACAGTCTGCCTGACAGCATTTTCATGAGCATTAGATGCATTCAATGCAGTAAAGTGAAGTCTGAAACAGCCTGCAAGAAATGGCAACCATTCTTCTCTCCTTAGTTCATGTGCCCTGTGGCCGGTCCATTCCTTCACCCTGTCCCCTGGTTTTAGGTAAGGCCGCCTTCTCAGGTTTCCCCCTCTGACGCCCCCCCACCCCGGGGGCCTGCCCCTCTGGGTCTCCCGGCTCTTCCAGCAGACCTGGGCCTAGGCTCCCTCCCCAAGCAAAACGGTATATTTGGAGTAGGTGCGCCACCTGGTGGCGTAGCGCCAAGAGCACATCCTCCAGTTTAACTGGCCTTTCCCGTCTCTGGCTGGTTGGTTGACCCCAGCAGTACCTCTGAGCTTCATCTCTCATACCGTGCAATGTCGTCTATTTCCCAGGGGTGAGGGTCAAGTACGGTAAGTTATGTAAATAAATCACCCAGCACTGGATCAGGCCCAGAGAGGCCCACAACATCATCAATGGCCTTCTTCATGCAAACCAGCTCCCCAGCTCTTACCACCCCGGATCTCGACTTCAGTGAAGGTCTGGGCCACAAGCATGATGGTGTTGAGACAGATGACAAGGAAGATGAAAGCTTCAAAGACCAGGGACTCAGTCAGATTCCTGAGCATTCTCCGGAGGTCCTGAATGAGGTGGCTTAGTTTTTCCCACAACCAATGGAAGAGGTCTGCAGTGTGCATCTTCTTGTGAGCCCGCTGGGCTCGGATCGCTATAAGAGGCCAGAAAGTCAAGTCTGTGTGGGAAGGGGCATGAGGATCCCAAGCCCTCTCAGGCTGTGCCAGGGTTCAGCCTCCTGCCTACCTGTTGTCTGCCATTCACTCACCAGGCTGCCTTTTTGCTAGTCCTGGGCTGGCCACAGGCCTGACTCTTTCCATGGAAGATGCCAGCCTGTTTGCATCTGGGGGCTGCTCAAGCACATCTCCATGCTGCTAAACCTCCATAACCTTTACTCACATGTGCATGCATGGAAAACACGATCTCCTGCCACCTCATCCTCTCGGGCACCTCGCCCTCTCTCCTTAAAAATCTACTGAAACATGTCCTCTTGCTGCCTTCCCTACCTCCCTCCAATTAGACACTCACCCCTATCTGTTTGTTTGTGAGACCATTGCTATGTTCACTGAATTACTAGGGGCCAAGTTGGGGGTGCCCCTCCCTGCCCTTAAACAAGACCCTCATTAAAGCACTGGCTCCCAGTCTCTGTCCTCAAGAAGCTCACAGGTTAGTGGGGGAAATGTGGACAGAATCCACAGTGGTAAGTGTTCTGATACGGAGGATAGGCCCGCATCACTGGGTAGTTTGGGATTGCCTGTTTAAGTGACACCCCCTGCTGTGGAGCCCGCTGAGGGCAGGGTTCGTCTTCCCTTTGCTGCCAGGACTCAAACAGGCCAGGCACCTGTATTAGACAAGAGGAAATGCTCAAGAGGTGAACATGTGAATGAACAAAGCAGTGACTGGATGAACAAACAACAGATGGCCTGAAGACATGCATCATTCAAGGAATAAAAGATTGGATGCTGAATAGCAGGTGAGTGAATAGCCAATGGAATACATGTGCAGGTGAGAGTCGTGACTCATGACCTGTGGGAGGTCGGTGCAGGGCGTGCATTAGGTCTGGAATCTGAGTCCCGCAGTGGGAGTTGAGTGGGGGGGTATGAGCCAAGACTCACTTCTGCGCTTCTGAGTTTGCTCATCTTCGGTCCAGCTTTCTGAGATTTTAGAGAAGGAATTCAGAGGATGGACTTCGCTGGAGATCTGGGAGACATATGTGAGAACCATACTGTGGGAATGGGTTAGGCCGAGGGCCGAGCTCTGTGCATGTGCCCCGCGAAGTTGGAGAGGCCCTGAATGAGAACAGGCAGAGTGAAGGGAGGCACTGACCATGCTGTGGAACTTGTGTGGGCCAGAGACTTGAGAAGTTCCGTGCTGGTGGTCCCTGTAGTGCTGGTCGCCATGGAGGTGATCATAATGTGCACTACGGCTGTGCTCGGCATGGTGGTGCTCCCCGTGGTGGTGCTTGTGGTCCTGAGGTGTGCCGTGGTGGTCGGACGCCACAGAGGAATGGTGGGAATAGATCTCTCCATGATGAAAAGACCGTCTGTGGTGGTGAGCTTCACGATGCTGGTGGCCGCCATGGGGACGGGCCTCACTGCGCTGGTGGGGGTCGTCTGAGCGCTGGGGCTCTTTATAGTTGTAAGGCTTGTCTTGGTGGTGGAGCTCATTAGGGTGGGAAACCTCACTGTGCTGGTGGGGCCCCCCACGGTAGTGCCGACCGTGGTGTCTCCTGCCGCCATGGTGCCACACATCATCAGAGCGGTCCTTGCCATAGGAAGGGTGGGAGAGGGTGGGGCCCCGGGAAGGATGGAGGACAATAGATGTGGAGCAGGGGGCTCCATCATGATGGTGGGCCTCATCATAGTGGGGGGAATGGTGGTGGGAGTGGGGAGAGTGGTGGGGAGGGTGCTGGGGGGCACGGGGTGAGAGGGCATTGTCCTCAAAGTCTCGGACCTCACCAAGGCGCTGAGTCCTTCTACGACGCTGGGACAGCCTGTGGTGGTGGGTCTCGTGACGGCGGTGGGCTCCGCCATGGCTATGCCTGTGGTATGGAGTTGAGAAGCCAGAGGGAGACAGCGCATCCAGATCGATGGTGTCTGCCTCATTTGTAGCCGTCTTAGTCACTGGGGGTTGGTCCATGACTGTGCTGGAAACCCCAAAACGCAGAGCTCAACACAGGGCCTCGTCAGGCCCCTTCTCTGTCTGCCCTGCACAGCCGGCTCCTGGTGCTGGGCCTTGGAGGGAAGTGTGACTCTCACGGAATTTTCCCCTCTGTGATGTCACCTGCAGGCTCTGTTCATGTCTGATTCCCAGATATCTCCTCCCACGCTGCAGTGCGGAACCAGGGATCATTATGTCTAACTTCTTCATTGTAAAATGTGGAAAATGAGGTCAGAAAAGAGAAGGGACTAGCCCAAGATGCCCCAGCAGGTCAGTGGCAAAGCTGGACACTGCAGTCAGGGTGCCACCTCAGCAGCTGCTATAGCCCTGTTGGTGAAAAAAGCTCTAAGAGGCCAGGTGCTCTGGCCCCCAGTCCTACCTAGATACCTGTTGGCTCTGGGGTTCAAACCAGCCTGATAATCATAAGTAGGTGTGTGACCTTGTTCCTCACTCTTCCTGTGTCTCAGTTTCTTCTTCTGTGAAATGGAGATTATAACATCTACCTCATAGGATCAAAAAAGTTAAGATATGTTAAGCTTATACTAACAGCACAGTAAATGTTAATTGGTATTATTATTCTCTCCTTGATCATTGACAGTGATGGAAACCTCACTCTTAGGTTATTACTAAATAAAACTATCAGCCACAATTTATTGAGAACCTACTTTATGTACTTTTAATTTGATCTTCACAATAACCCTACATGATGGATATTATTATCCCCATTTTACAGAGGAAGGTGCTGTGGCTCAGGGTATAAATGAGTTGCTCAATTAATAAGAATTTAAGATTGGTACTAACTCCAAAGTCTTTCCCTGTAACCACATGCTATCCTGTCTTCCTGTTGTAATCCACTGCAAAGCTTTTACTGTACACAAAGTTCATTTGTGCCCAGGGCAGTGCTTCTGGAAGCTTCAGGCCACTCCTTTGACTACGGCTACTTCCTGAGTGCTTGGTTACAGCCAAGTCCACAGTGGCACTGGGCACCAGTCTCCCAGTGATGAGAGAGACATGTCCCCTGCCCTCAACGAGCTCACTGTCCACTGCCAGCAGGGAGGAAAGAGTTTGCGACAAGCCTGCTAGTTGTTGCACGGATCCATTCCCTCTTCTTCCTGGGCACACGGCCTCCCAACTAGAGATTATATTTCCCAGTGTACATTGCATCTAGCCGTGGCCAAGGGTTAAGAGCAGAAGTAATGTGAGAACTTCTTGGATTCAAAGCACTGGGCATGTGCACCTCTCCTTCCTATGGGCTGGAGCGTGGATACAACAAGCAGACAGGATTAACACTCTAGGACAGAGTTTTAAACTAGTCTTTGGGGCCACAGAAATGGCCTTGAGATGTTTCTAGGCCAGGGGTTTTGTACTGTGATTGATAAAAAGCGGGGGTGGGGACATTATTTTTTAATTTCATGTGCTGTGTGATGACAGCGCTCTCAGTGATGAACAGGAACTGAGCAGTCTTGACACCATCACGCAGCCCCTCCGGCAGCACACGGTGGGGCTGTGTTCACCCGTGGGGTCCTTTCTCAGTTTTCACCGAGATCAGGAAGTTTATGCATCATCTGTGAACACTGTGTCGCCTGAAGGGGAGGTAAGACTGACGGCATCAGTCTCGCCCTCTGAACGCACTGATGACTGGCTGCAAACAAACTTTCTGGTGTGAAAGAAAATGAGAAGAAATTTTCCTTCTAAAGAAATATTTTTTATATGCTGTGACCCAGCTGCCCTTTTGCTGATAATATAAACACTATAAAACATGAATTATCCAGGTTAGAAGTGAATTTCACTATGATTCGTATGTTTTGCAAATTTCTTATTTAGTTTTGCAACTCTTTTGTATATCTTATTAGTGAGACAGGGTCCGTGGGTGTAGTCAGGGTAGGGTGAGGGCCTCCGGAAAAAGCAAGGCAGGATATTTGCAGTCAGAGCAATGTAACTACATGCAAGGAAACCCCCCCACCAAAACTCTGTGTTAAACATTAAGCTCTAGAGTCATTCTTCAGTGAGATCAGTTAATACACCCCAGATAAAGAAGAGTAGCAATGTTTTATTATGCTAACCATTTATAATCATGTGTAAGGTCCTCTTTAGCATACTAAAAGGCCCAGGCCTCTGTGCTGTCTTTCCTCCTTCAGATCTGATGAAGTGATTTTGCAAACTGGGCAACTAATTTAGCAAGTAAGCCCAGGCATAAACAACACAGTAAAAGGCAGAAAGGATTCCACCTTAAAGATAAGATTGCATTTTAATACCCAAGAGGTTAAGACGTTAGAAATTCTTACTCTTCAGCAAATAGTACCTCAGCCCACCTTGGGGGCTGGGCAGGTGGCCTTGTTTCATATGCCCCCAGATCAAGATGCTGGTATCTCGGGGAGAAATCATCAGAGCAGGAAGTTGCTTGTGTTAAATTAATTCTAAATATTCTGGGACCACTTAATAAGCCCACACCCCTAAGCTTTTTTCCATGTTCTCGAAAAATCCTCATCTGCCTATAAAACCCCTAGACAACGCACCACCCCGGACTCTCTTGTCCCCTCCTGGTGTGAGCCGGGAGCTCTGTCCTCTCACTTTGTCTCTAAATAAAAGCCTGTACCTGGCTCTCCTACCTTGAGTGTTTGTGAAGCTCATTCTTCGGCTTTGTGAACAAGAACCCCGGCATCATTAGCATTTATTTTTTACAAATGTGTCCAGTGGTCCCATGTGGTGGTTTTTAAATTATGGGGTGTGAAATGAAAGAGTTTAAGACTACAGACAAATCTAGTAGGGTTTGTGATAAAGAATTACAAATTTACAAACTTCAGCAAAATTGAAAAGAATTTAAGGACAAATCAGACAGTTGCCAAATAAATGTGCTAATTGTTAGCTACTGGTATCTCAGAATAAACAGATTAAAGCTTTGTTTAAGGTTACATTCAGTAAAAAGGCTCAGAGAGCAAGTTATTTGGCAGCAGAATCTATTGTCCAGGAAAGAGATCCTAATAATGCCACCATGTAAAATTACAGCGCATGAAATGCTAGTGCAAGATGCCATACGAAAAAGTGAAAGGGTTCTACTTCTCAGAGAGAATGATAACTTGATGTATTGATGACATGTCACATGAGGCTGGAGAGCTTTTTGTTTTGTTTCTTTGGTAACAAACTGAAAAACAACAGATTCTTTTTCCAGGCTGATGAGTCAACAGATTTCACTGATAAACGCCATGCTATAGCACTTGTTAGATTTGTAATGCTGATAATCAAGAAAATTTTTTTACAGCTTTTACAAACAGATTGACAAGCTATATTTTATGTTTTCTTCCTATATAGAATCGGAAAGTCTGTTTCAGGAGAGCTATCTTGAACTGATGGTGTTCCCATCAAGAGTTTGTGCCATGAGAGTTTTCATTGCTCTTGTCAAAAAACAAAACCAACCAAAAACGAACATAAAAAACCTGATATTGTCACACACTCACTGCTTTATTCACAGAGAGGTGCTGGTGTCAAAAACTCTGGGAGATGGAAAAAAAATGGTGCTGCAAAATAGCTAACTTCATTAAAAAAGGACTAGTTTGCTCAAGAGTGTTTTAAAACATTCCACTTATGGTGATGTGTCAAAAGAATTGAAAGCAGGGACTTGAACAGATATCTGTACACCCATGTTCGTAGCAGCATTATTTGCAATAACTAACAGGTGGAAATGACCCAAATGTCCATGGATAGACGGGTGGATAAACAAAATGTGGTTTATACACACGATGGATTATCATTCAGCCTTAAAAAGAAAGGAAATTCTGACAACATGCCACAACATTGATGAACCCCGAAGACATCATGTTATATGAAATAAGCCAGAAAGAAAAGAACAAATTTTGTATTGTCAACAAATGACTCCGTAAAGCAGGAAATGTAATCAAAGAAAACTACTGTAAAAGAAAACAAGTTGCTTTCCAACCTGAGAGGTGTAGCCTTTGGCTATGAACCAAAAGTACACTTCCAAGAAACAAAGAAAGAAGGTCGTTTTTATAGAAGTTCTTGCCCAGGTTCCCATTCAGGTACATTTATGCAAATGAGGGTTGTAGACTTCTAAGTCCTGATTGGTTGATGTTAGTTGCAACTGATTGGTTGGTTTGCCCACTATTGTCTGGTTTGGCCGCCCAGAATGGTTTGGACTATATCAGAGAGTGGTTCTGCTTTGGAGAATAGACTTCATTTTGTGGTTCTTCCTAGAGCACAGAATACATATTTAGTCTCCTGTCAATATATGGTTCTCTGGCTCTATTTTATTTTAGGTCTGTTAGCCTGGCAGAATTCATCTTGTTTTCTGGCATAGCTGGATTTTGGGGATACAGGATTCATTTCACTTTGTCTTATTTCCAACAGTATGCTTCCACTTAAGTGAGGTACTCAGAGTTGGCAAATTCATAGAGATAGAAAATTGAGTAGTGGTTACCAGGGCCAGGAGAGGGGATAATGGGAAGTTAGTACTTAATGAGGATAGTTAGGGAAGATGAGAAAGTTCTGGAAATGATAGTGGTGATGGCTGTACAACATTGTGAGAGTATTCAATACCCGTGAACTGTACTTTTAAATGGTTAAGATGGTAAAGTTTGTGTGGGGAAGTTGGGGTTCCTACAGTCAGCATCCTCACTGAACTTAAACCACTTGATGATGTAACTGACCTCTTGCTAGGCTACTGGTTCCACACCCACAGGCAGTAAGCTATTATTGCACTATAGAGAGAGCTCGGCCCCGTGCTCTGGGCAGAGGCAGAGACCCTGGTGCTCGACCTGCCGCCGGGAGAACAAGCCAGGTAATAAACCCTTTCGCCCCAAGAATGTTCTACTGTCATTTCTTTGGTCACATTGAATCCATAGAGAACTTGCCGAGGGCTGAAACCCATTGGCAAGACAGTTTCTTATGTATATTTTACCACAATACATTTTTTTTGGTATCATTAATCTACAATTACATGAGGAACATTATGTTTACTCGGCTCC